ACATTCTGGAACATAGGCCATATTTCTTGACCTGAAGGCGGAATTTGACTCTATCCACTGAGAGGTGCTAAAGTACATCGCATTAATCAAGATATTCCAATCGAAATCACGTAGCGCCTTGTAAGAGCTGACGGAGAGTTGTTAGCTGAAGTGATAACAGTCAGTAGTGCCCTCCGAAGATTTCCACTGTTCCCCATTTCTGTTTAATTTCATCATTGATGTACTAATGGAATTGACTCTAACAAACTTCAGCGAGATAAGGATTTAACTGTCACCAGCGCATAGTCCTGTTGACTTAGAATATGTTGGTGATACAGTCTTCCTAGGTGGAGATATTGATAAAATGCAGAGTCTTCTGAACATCTTGAGCAGCAGTCTTCAAATGTTTGGCAGGCGGTTTGCTACTGAGGAGTCCAAAACTAGGACGAAACAGCTGATCAGTTATTCCTAATTGGTTTTCACTCAGTAAGTACGTGATTAAACTTCATTGAAATCGCTCAAATGTCTGCAAAGCCCCCCCCTCGCCCCAGGAGATTTGAAAATTGTCTAATTGATTAAAGTTCTTTTGAATTCCTTATCGATTAATTCTGTTGAACTTGAAATGCTTGGTGGGGGGCGGGGGGTTGCTACCGCTTTGATATTTGAAATGTTGAGTTTCGGGTTCAAGTTCCCGGGGGAGGGAGAGAGAGGAACACTCATTGGAGGTACAGACACTTCTGGACTGACCAGCTCCCCTCTGGATTTCACTGATAGTCAGAAACCGGCGATAACAACAACCAAATAACATAATCTAGTGTGGTCATTGAAATAAACAAAATTCTTTAATCTAAGATGGGTGTATCATACATACGCTTATGTATTTATTATTAAAAAAGGTGGTTTTATTGTTGTATCATTTAAAGAGGAGAAAGAGAGAGAGAGAGAGAGAGAGAGAAGGAATGATGAGCATTATTCATCTCTTAATGTCCTTTCACATAATACACAACAAAATGTTGTGAACAATCAGAAATTTGTTATTTTGAATTCTCCTGTTTAAAATGAGTGCTGCCTGTCTAATAATTACCATTTATGGACAAAACAAGAAAGCTTAGATTTTGTAGCACATCAAGAAATAAACAGTACAATGGGTACTAGGTTTAATATGGTATTTATTACTAGGCAGATTCTGAGTAGTGGGTACTCTCATTGGAAAGCTACTTGAAATTTTTTGAATGCATACAAAACACGTCATATATACATATGTGTAATCTCCGCGTAAAAAGTAATCATAGCCCACAGTCACTGAATGGATCCGTTATGTCTGTTTTTTGTATTGCCCATTTGGGGTGTAACTGTCAACATCTGTCTTGTCTTTAGCTCCTAGCAGTTCTCTGACTGAATACTACCGGTGAATTTAACTTTTTTTAAAGCCTCAAACCATCTAACATTAGCTCAGAAAGTGTGTACGCTGTGTGTGTGTGATGCTCAGTCTGTAAGGCTGGCCCACCACATTGCAGATTGTGATTGGTCGATTGACATAACAATGACTGCTGACGACTGGACATTCTCTGCAAGGCTTTCTCCTCAGTTAGAGACGGTTGTCAATTGGCATGAAATCTAGGTGGATGCAAAACTTTATGTCGATTACGCCTCTACCTTATTGTATGCAGTACCGAGTGTAACGATGATAAGTTGTGGGGGCTTAAGCTAGTTCAGCGCATATCTTCACAAATTAGTCGTTTATTGAATTAGTCATATTCAATGTGAGTAAGAAGCATGAAGTGTTTATGGATCAGTTTGATTGGTATCATGGGTGATGTAAAGTCGTTGTAGTTGTTATTGTATGTTACTTTGTTTAAAGGTATTTAGCGGTGTTATAATCATAGTTACGTGCTTTTAAAAAGCATCAAAGTTACTCTTGCACTTACTAATTGCACTTTAAAATAAACTAGGTCATTATTTATTATGAGTAAACATAATTTATCTTTTTATCTTTTCTCTTTAAATGGACAAATATTGTCATGATCGATTTCAGTAAAAACAATTTATTGTATTAAAAATGATTTCAATGTCAGTGTATTAGCTAACTCTTTTATTTCATCTGATGAAGTTGAACGATAGACAGATAGATAGATAGATAGATAGATGGTGTCATTCTAGCTACTTTGATGCTTCATGTGGACGTTGACGTGTAATGTTGGATCTTAGCCTCTAGCTACTTTTGCTTAATCAGTATCAATCTATCCGTCTAGTTACATTATCATTTCTAAAAGTATTTTACGGTAATAAGCTGTTATTAGTGTGTGTGTGTGTGGATATACTATGGGGGCGGTTAATTAAATTAACTGATATTTGCTTTTGGATTACTGGAATGGAAGTTCATGGATATATATGTATGTATGTATGTATGAACAGTTAAAGGGTCATATGGAATTTTTGTCCTGTCAGCTGATTTCTTCGGTCAGCTATTTTCCCAGTAGTAAATGTTGTTAACTTGACATTGTGACACTTTTGTATGCCTAATCAACTTCCTAATTTTGGTTTTATTTTTATATTCCTTTGCATTCTCACTTGGGACATAGACGCTCCTAACTTCAGCTTTTGAATTTTCAGTAGCAATGGTTTTTATTTTCTTTTTTTTACGGGATGGGGTGGGGTTATGCTAGTCTCACACTCACCTCACCAACCTTTCCTCCTTGCCCCTGGGGCTTATTACCGGCTACTAAGTAAGGTTCAGGAGAGCGCGTCGATCGGAAACCTTGATCCTCTCCCAACTCCACTTGAGGCGTGGTTGGCGAATCTTTTACCTACTGTTAGATCCACCCACGCACTACTAAGTACCCTAACCTAGTGGGGGGGGGACAACGTGATCTTCAACTTCGTTGGTCGGACGATAACCACCGGTATTTTTAACGTGGTATATGGTCGCACACAATTTCGGTATATCCCATATTTATTATAAATATTCAATTACGAAGTTCACATGTACAACATATGTAGAATAAAAAAATTCACCACTTACCAAATTTCACTGTTTGATGTGTGAGGAATCAATGCCATAGTTTCTACTGGAAACCAAAAATATTTAGATTACAGCATACAATCTTCTTGATGTCATAAATAACAATCAAGAAAAAAAAAAGCGAAATAGCGTGGCTGTTGATTCATCATTTTGAGTAGTTCGTAATCACTAACGTATGTTTGGCTTTCGCGCAACTCTAAACTATAGCGAACCTAAGTGAACGGATATAATAATGATTACATTGATCAACTATTCAGATGAGCTCATAGTAAAAACGCTGAAATATAAATGCAGTACACGAATTACGCGTTGCAAATTCTATCAACAGGTAGTATTTGAGTAAGAAGCTTTTAGATGTGGGTGAGTAATGTCTCTTTACAGAGGTGTGCGCAGACTCTGTTTAGTGCTGAACAGATATTCAAGCTGTCATTACAGGAAGTCTGTCCAAGATTGATATGTCGTACGTACCTCTTTTTTTAGGTCCATGGGGTGACGTTGAACAGTGAATGAGTCACGTAACAGCATGTAGTATACAGTTATCTGGATTAGTTTATTATGTACAGAAATAGGTGCTTAGACTATTGCTAAAGGCTGCAATAAATAATTAGGAAACTTTCTTGGGACAAATACGAAAAAATGTACCCCATATAACAATTTTTTTTCAACACTAACTTTAGTGTCTACAAGAAAGTGATTTGATGGATGGTGACTAGCAGTGGATGGAATCCAGGATTCATATTTCGTCCTACTTGGGACCCGTCAGTATCCTCCCAGTGAGTGATACTGTCTCCTCTGTGGCTTGAACCAAGTACCATCGTTTCAAACGCTAAAGCGTTATCTGTCTACTAGACAACTTGGGCAACGAGAGCCACCTCTTGTGCAACGGGTCATATTAATTATTTAATTGAACTTTAGATTTTTCCGTAGCAGGTTCATTTAGATGACGAGTCCCAAATTGGACGAAATGCGCATCCTGGATTTCATTGCTAGTCACCATCTACCAATTAACTTCTAATTACATTCCCAGACATCTTCGAAGCATCTACACAAGAAGCCGACATGTAAACCTGAGATCGAGCACTTCGGTCCAATCAATCGACGGGAAAATCTGAAAAATTCAATTGTCACTTATTCTTGTCATCTAAATTAATTTGGATTTTCCCGTTGACTGATTGGACCGAATTGGCTCTTGTATCCCAAGTGGTCCAGTGGATAGTGCTTTGGTCTTTGAAGAAACGATGTTTACTGAGTTCGGGAATCAGGCGTGGGGAACACACACACTAGCTGGGGAATGTAGGTAGGTATGTGCAGATGACGAAGCCAGAATTGGACGCGATACGCATCCTGGTGTATGCCACCACTCCCAGTCACCATCCACCTAGTCAATTCAAATTAAATCCTCAGACACTGTCGAAGCATCCTCACAAGGAGCTGAAATGTCTACAACAGAGGCCGAATATTTCGATCCGGTCAATAGAAGAGAAAATCAAAATTGAATTAAATAGTCTATAAAAGTGCTTTAAATTACGCGTAATTTACCACAAGCCTATCTGGTCAAGTTCATTATGCCCGTTTTACTTGGATTGTTTCATTTATGTCTCTATAGAGTTTCAAGTTATCGGCTTTCGTTTGTCCACCACCTAAGTAGTCACCGCTAGCTTAGCCAGTCTGAATTCAACTAATTTTTGAACTAATTCGCCTCTCTGTCTTTCTCTAATTTTGAGTCAAAGCAAGTAGTCTACCGACAAGTTCAGAAGTGAATCACTTCGATGTGATTAGCAATCACTACTCTGTTTATTTGACAATGAGTACTTTTCAACTATTGATAACATTTGCATGTGTGCGTATGTGTGTTCGCATGGCTCATAAGAGACCTTCTGAAAGCATTTCATCACTTAAGCTGTTATTGCTGTTATTATTATCATTATTATTACTATTACTATTATTGTTATTATTATTATTATGATTATGATTATCCTCCGTTAACCTCCTTTTCAAGGTGGTCGAGTGAAACATCCATTACTTTCGACTGTCGCTACTGCTACTCCTACCACCACCACCACTGGTATTCCTACTATCAATACCACTATCACCACCACTACTACGACTACACAGTCAACTCAAAAGTTGTGATATTATTGTATTCATTATCCCCAAGGTATCAGTTAATTGATTGATTGATTCCGGTGTATATTTATATATACCATTCGATTAGAGTGTGTGTACCTAACCACCATAAAACTAACTCGTCATTCCTTTAATTTTCTCCATATATTCGTGTGTTGCTCACTGAGTTCGCCTTCTTGTTTATCTATTGATTTATTCATTTATTGTGTGATCCCTTTCTCCTTCTTCCTCCTCATAATTAAACATATCGAAATAGTTTTTTTGTCATATGTATCACATCGGTGTGAATTTGTGTATTTCCTGCGTCACTGTATATTTGATTGATCACATCATGTGGGTGGTGACGGCTGTCGGCGGTAGCGGGTGGAAGTAGCATCATTCTATCCCTCCTTTTTTTTTCGCTCATCTTATCCTTCATAACCAAAACATCGAGTATTCACTTACTTTTTTTGTCGTTGTTCATAACTGGTGTTATTTCATTTGGGATTCCATTGTGTGTATGTGTGTGCACTGCAATGCATGTGTGGGCGTTTGCTAGGAAGGACGTGCCTGAATCCTTCATTAACCGTTCATATCACCATAAGACTGACTTTATTTCATGTCACTCCCCCCATGATTTTAATAAGTTGTGTTAATGACCGAACTCTGTTCCTGTCACACTGTGTGTGCTGCACACATATCTACAATTTGATTGAAATGTATTCATTATTTGATGGCTTCTTATGTGTACTGTGAGACACCGTGTGAAGCGGTCAATACAAACTACTCTGTATTGCGGGATTGGTCACAAGCTGCTGACATCACTTAGAGAACCATTAGAAAGTTGTTCCATCCTAGTTTGGGACTCCTCAAGCATTGCGCACCACCTACCACACAGGGGTTCAAACCCCCCAGGATGTTCCAGTTACGAAGTGAGTTCATAGAACATTCATCAGTCACTACGACCGGGACCCTACCCAATGGTCAACCAAGCAATGAATTCCAACTTCTGCTAATTCATGATATAATTTAGCGCAACCACCAGACAGAATTGACTGGCTGATGAATGTTCTATGAGCTTGTCTCGTACCTGGAGCATTATGGTTCCAATCCCCCCCCTCGTGGTGGTGGGTGCGTACTGTACTGATGAAGAGTCCCTAACTAGGGCGAATAGTAGTTAGTTTCCAATGGTTGTCAGCTTATGCTCAATCCTGTAACCGATCGAATCCCTGCAAACCAACAACTTGACAATTTCTCTATTAGTTGTTCAGATTTACAAAACAACGAACAAACTTTAATATACCGAATATATACAGAATTTTGTCAATGTATTTTTAGCTGAGATGTCGATCTGATTGGCAGTGAGATCGATTGCTACTGCTACCCTGACGTCTCGGTTGTGCTTGCTTATCACAATGACCCCAATGAGCTACACTGGTTGGAACTAATGCTTCCTGTGAAGGTTCTGTCATTCTAGAAAGAAGGTCATTCGGATAGCTGTTAGACTATTATCAGTTACCGTCATATAGTGTAAGTTGTTTGCACTATGGTGGATGTGTGTGGGTGAATGAATGCATCTGAGCCATTGACAACGACTGTGAGCCATAGTTTCAATAGTCTTCAGTCTTTGGTTCTTAGAATCCTGAGGACCCCAACTACTACTACTACTACCACTAGTCTTGCAGTCTACACTTCCCTACACGACTGACCTAAACCATCCGTCAGAGGTTTTATTAACCACCACTAGCTCTTTTTGAACCTAATCCTATATCACAGTTAACATTCCTGGTCGAGGAAGGTGGTGGGTCGATAGGCAAGCATGCGTAACACATGTCCTAGACTTCTCAGCCGGTGTGGTGTAGCTGGTTCACAACCTCATCGATTAACTTTCCCTTCTTATCTGACATACAAACACGCTTTACTTCAATATTACTGACCCTGTTACACCATCACCACCTAATATATGGGAGATGTCACTCGGACACCTATGATCAGGCAGGCGAACTACCAAGCACTACACACATCTTTTGATTGACAGTCATTTTTCGGTTAGAGGGATGCTAAGGTTCATTAAATGAAATCCAAGTTGCTAGAATTCGTGTCTACAGTTACTGAATAATAAATAGTGTTGTGATAGGAACAGCTGGAATGTGATACTACTAATGTAACTACAGAAGACAAGGGTCAGGTAACAGATCGTTTATTGAAAAAATCAAGAGATATTTATAGATTTTTGTGTACATTATTGTTAGCAGAGAAGCAACGTCTTTTGATTGGTTGTTTCCCTGCTGAAAGTTATTCTATCATCTCTTTGATACCGTTTCTTAGACAGTCTGTTGACATATCTGCGAATCGTACTCGCCCACTCTTAGTCTCCTGTGATTGATTGTTGAATTCTTCAAGGTTAGGCTTTGTTCTTGGTTTATCTCATAACCGAGATTTGGGACGTGTAAACACCGACGTGAATTTCTGTCTACCAATTTTGGCTAGCAGACAGCTCTCACCACACTACTACTGTGTATTTCCTTGGTAAATATCTTATCTTATGATCTTAAAGCCTAATAATGCCTTTAAATATATATGTGTGTGTACAGAAGAACCAAGTAGATCCATTCGTCCTTTTGATTCTTAGGTGTGCGTGCGTGCGTGTATGTGGGTGTACTTTTTCATTTCATGATAGGTTGAACTAATTGATTTATTGGGGAATTCTTGGGTGTTTTCAATCCACAGTTATTGCATCATTCACATAATATCTACTACTCCCTCTCTTTCTCTCTCCGTATTGAGAGATTTTGTCTCAGTGTGTGAATGGTTTTACTCATATCTGGTGCATTACTCAGCTACATATTATACCATTACATTTTGGTGAATCCTCATCATTTCAATGTCTTGAGAGAGAGAGAGAGTGTGTGTGTGTTCATATAATCTCGATTCGTATTTATTATTATCACACAAGAATATCGTAGTTTTCATAACGTCATCGACTACTGATTTCAAGAAAATTAGTAGTATTAGCTATTCCATACGATTAGGTGATTTTCTTTATTTACAATCTCCTTTAACCTGCATTTTTGATTGTCTTATTGTTAATCTTGATTTTTATGATCTTTTATAAGTTTTATTTCATTTTCAAGATTGATTTTTCTGTTTCTTTGGTTCTGTTCTCTGACCTTTGGTGTGGATATGTGGTTTAGTTGTGTCAATATCACACTGTATCTCCTTTCAGACAACATTTTCAACACTTTCATTAATGTAAAATAACCTTATTTTTCTGGACTACTCCATGAATTGATAGAAACACAGCCTATCCTGATTAGGAGGTCAGTAGTAGTGTAGTGTAACAACAGAAGACAAGGGTCAGGCAATGGATCGTTTATGTACATTATTATAGATTATTATAAGCAAACGAACGCAGTCTTCTGATTGGTGATAGTTTCTCGCTGAACATTAATCTTTCATCATTTTGTGACTGTTTTTGAAGTTCAGATTATCTATCTGCAAACTGTTATCCGCCTACGCAAACAAAGTCTGCTGTGATTGGTTGTTGAGTCGGTCAATCTTTGTTCTTCTTCTTCTTATTTTTCTCATGACCAATAATATTGGGGACGAAAAAATCGACGTAAATTACTATCTACTAATTTTGGCTAGCAGCCAGCTCTCACTACAATGGTAATTACTCATAAAACTTCATCATTTGAGGAGGACCCGAGAAGACGAACCTTAGGAATCACAAGAAAGTTCATTCTATCTCATATTTTTAAAAATATTTCTGATACTATTCAAAAAAACTGTAACCAAATGGGGTCCATCAAGTCAGGTAGGTAGGAGACTATCAGTTACTCACGCCTATGACACATTGGCTGGTGGTTGAGCTATATGTATACATCGAAAATGACAGAAGTTGGAATTCATGGACTGGCTATTGGATCGTGTCTGACCGGCTGATAAATAGGTCTACTAGGCTAGTTTTTTTCTAACCTTAAGGCCCCTGGGGTTTGAAGCGCAGGTGAGAAGTCCCAAATTAGGGCGAAACAGTGAGATGTTCAGTACTCCTAGTTGGTTTTCCAATATTTCCTCAACCTTCTACAAACTAACATCTTGACTATTCAGAATAGACACTACACGCACACACACCAACCAATATCTCTTCATTCAATAGTGTGCTGACTAAAAACACCTAAAAGATAAGATTAACGCTGCCTATGTGACAAAATGCTGCACCGGAAATACTGAGATACTAGATACTCGCATCAATCATAGAGAATCCTAAAAGTCTAAGTTTGAAATGGACTCTAAAGATGTTTGTTCCCTAGAAGAAGGATAATGAAAACTTCACCTGTTAGACCACCACCATCCTCCATCTAGCAGCTCTGAATGGATATACAACCACAGCTAGATCATCCTCTTGAGTTTTCATTCTTCTGTATTAATTCAGTTACAACATTTTGAATGAAGTACATAGTTCATCAGTTTTCTTTCTAAATGGTGTCATTCATCTTATGATGTAACCTTCTCATGAATCCTTTTTCTATTTTCGCGAAGAAACTGACCAACCTACAATGTTTTCTTTGCAGATGTTATCACACAGGTAGTTTTGGTACTGAAAATATTGCATATATATATATATATATATATACTTATTTGGTTAGAACTGCTATTTCCGGTAAATATTTCGTCTCATATGAACATGTATAAACCTCGGTTAGTTGTATAACAGTTCTGTAGGTCTGAGAGGTTATTCATGTCTTTTTACGAGTTGATCACGGATTGATATCAGTTAGAGAACCATTGAAAACTAGCACTGGAGTACTGGACAACTGCTGTTTCATCAGCCTAGTTTGGGAATCATCGGTAGTACGCACCCACTGGGATTCGAACCCAGGACCTTCCGGTTACAAGGCAAGCTCGTATACTTATTCATGTCTCTTAATTTTCCTCTAATTTTTCTGTGGAGAAGTGGCCCATTCATTTTAGCACATGAATTATGACCAATGGGTCTAGGGTTAGAATCCTGCTGCTTCAATTACTTCACCCTGCAGAAATCAATGGTAT